AGTCTGCCGACGCTCTAGCTGCTAGTGCGTCTACTGCCACAGGTCCTGCCTCAGCTGAGGCCTTGTACACTTTCACGCTTGACTCAAGCGCGTCACGTTGCTTCTTTCGTGATTGCACCACAGTCACACCACTCGCAGCACCTGTCCCAGTCTCACTGGCTGACCCCACTGGGGGCCCAGTAGTTGCGCGAGCCTCCACCGTCCTCCCGTGTCCGGCAGTCCCCTCAGGGTCTCTCTCAGGTCTCCACCTCCCCGCATTCTCGACGAACTTGTTGAGCAACGCCGTTCTCCAGGATGAATGGGTTGACACATTCATTCCTGGAGGACAGCGTGTGGCGATCTGTAAGTGCTCACGGACTGGCCATCACCTTGCTACGTTCACTCGTCAGCCTGGTTCCGGTCTGTACACCCTGACCACTGCGTCTGCACAGGTGGCTGAGTCAGGTCAGGTGGCTGCGTCAAGTCGGGTGTCTGCGTCTGGTCAGCTTGCAGCGTCTTGCTCGTGTTGGGTAATCTCTCACCAGACTCTCCTCTTGCACCACCGCCTAGGTCACCCCTCGCTGCCGCGTCTCCGCAGCATGCACTCCCGTCTCCTTGTCTCTGGCCTTCCCAGGTCCCTGCCCTCCCTCCCACGCTCGCCTGCCCCACCGTGCCTTCCCTGCGTCGAGGGGCGGCAGCGCGCCGCTCCTCACTCCTTCGAGTTTCCTCCGACCACTGCTCCTCTGCAGACTCTCCACATGGACGTGTGGGGCCCGGCCCCCGTCGGTGGAACGGACCAGGAGCGCTACTTCCTGCTGGTTATTGACGACTACACACGTTACACCACTGTCTTCCCCTTGCGGCGCAAGGCGGACGTCAGAGGTCTTTTGATCCCCTGGATCCGTGCTACTCGTCGCCAGCTGCGCGAGCGGTTTCGTAGGGACTTGCCCGTCCTGCGTCTGCACTCTGACCAGGGCGGTGAGTTCTCTTCTGGCCTCCTTGAGGAGTTCTGTCAAGACAAGGGCATCCGCCAGACGTTCACGCTTTCGGCCTCTCCTCAGCAAAACGGGATTGCTGAGCGTCGCATTGGCTTGATCATGGAGGTTGCTCGTACCTCCATGATCCATGCGGCTGCTCCCCATTTTCTGTGGCCATTTGCGGTCCGATACGCTGCGCATCAGCTCAACCTCTGGCCCCGTGTCTCTGAGCCAGAGACCTCTCCCACACTTTGGTGGACGGGAAGGTTGGCGATGCGTTGGTGTTTCGGGTCTAGGGCGCGCTCTCCCTTGTTCGGGATGCCAAAGCGAGTAAGCTCTCCTCTCGCACTCTCCGCTGCGTCTTCCTTGGCTTCCCCACCGACTCCCCGCCGTGGCAGTTCTACCACCCGCGCGAGCGTCGAGTCTTCTACTCCCAGGACGTCACCTTTGACGAGTCTGTCTGTTTCTACAGACTATTCCCGCACACGTCCCACCCGGTCCCCCTAGCGCCTTTTTTCCTGGTACCAGTGCCCCCCCCGGTAGACCCCCTCCCCCCACAGGGTCCTGCTCCCTTAGGTGTGTCTCAGGTAGACCCACCCCCCTTAGTTGAGCCTTTGGAGATCTCTTCTGGCTCCTCTGGGCGAGATGAGGGGGGGGGACCCCGCCGCTGACGACATGGCGGCCACTCGTCGCTCTCCACGCTTGGAGACCCCCCCTGGTTTTCCGCCTCGGCCGTTTTTGCTGCCTCCGCAGCCTGCTGCTGTGGACTCTAGAGCTGAGACTACTGGTGCTGAGCCTGGGGGTGCTGAGACAGAGGGTGAGGGTTCTGGGGGTGTTGCGACTGGGGGTGCTGGTTTTGGGGGTGCTGCGATAGGGGGTGCTGATTCTGGGGGTGCTGCGACTAGGGGTGCTGACTCTGGGGGTGCTGCGAGTCCTAGTGGCGGTGGAGCTGTGGGTGACCCTGCTGGAGGTCCTGGAGCTAGACAGCCACCACAGCCTGATCTACTTGAGACGCTCTCGCCGCAGGCGATTCGTGTGTGGATCGTTCGGCGAGGCAGTCCTTGTGGTGGAGGGTACGGTCCTGCCGGTACTGGAGCTACTAATCCTGGAGGTGATGCTGGTGTTGGAGGTACTGGAGGTACTGCTGGAGGTGCTGGAGGTGCTACTAATGCTGGAGGTACTAGAGGTGCTACTGGTGCTGGAGGTACTAGAGCTGCTAGTCCTGGAGGTGCTGAAGTTGCTGCTCGTGCTGGAGGTGCCGGAGCTACTAGTCTTGGAGGTGCTACTGGTGCTGGAGGTGCTGGAGATGCTAGTCCTGGAGGTCCAGCTGGTGCTAGAGGTGCTGGAGCTGCTGGCACTGGAGGTGCTGGTGCTGCTGGTGTTGGAGGTGCTGGAGGTGCTACCGGTGCTGGAGGCGCTGGAGCTGGAGGTACTGGAGGTTCTGGAGCTGCTAGTCTTGGAGGTGCTCGTACTGGAGGTGCTGGAGCTGCCGGAGCTTTTGGTGCTGCTGGTGCTGGAGGTGCTGGAGGTACTGCTGGGGGTACTGGAGGTGCTGGAGCTGCTGGTACTGGAGGTGTGCGTACTAGAGGTGCTGGAGCTGCCGGAGCAGGTGGTGCTGCTAGTGCTGGAGGTGCTAGAGGTGCTGCTGGAGCTATTGGCACTGGAGGTGCTGGAGGTACTGCTGGTGCTAGAGGTGCTGGCGCTGCCGAAGCTCGTGGTGCTGCTGGTGCTGGAGGTGCTACTGGAGCTGCTGGTGCTGGAGGTGCTCGTGCTGCTGGTGCTGGAGGAGTTGGTGTTACGATAGTAACTTAACTGGTAACCGGGTTTAACTAGGGGCCTAGGTTTAGTAGCCTAGGCCAAGCGGGTGTCGAGGAGTTTGTGCCAAGGAGAAATGTCGAGAATGTGTGTTGTTCACTATAGCACACAAGGTACATATAGCAAACTAGCAAGGGTGCACCACCAACAGAATGTATAACTCCCGCCGCGACCGTTGCGTCTATTACGACTACCGTGACGGATTTTGCTGCGGGCGAGCGACGGGGAAGGATGGACGGAGCCACGATTTGCTGCTTGACGGGACGCGCCATCGCGAAAGCTAACGGTGGGCCCTTAGGAAATTAGGTCGGGAACGACCTAGCTCTACCATGTTACGATAGTAACTTAACTGGTAACCGGGTTTAACTAGGGGCCTAGGCTTAGTAGCCTAGGCCAAGCGGGTGTCGAGGAGTTTGTGCCAAGGAGAAATGTCGAGAATGTGTGTTGTTCACTATAGCACACAAGGTACATATAGCAAACTAGCAAGGGTGCACCACCAAAAGAATGTATAACAAACTACAGCTACAGCTACAGGCACTTATAGATAGATATATATAATATATCACGACAGCAAGAGCTACTGCTACTGCCCTGCGCCGACCGTTTTTATACCCGCAGCCGTAGTCATCCCTGCCGCCGCCTGACTCGATCCTTCGCCAGGTTCTTAGTCTCCCGTCTTCCACTGGCCTCACTCCACCTCTCCTGTGTCCACCGGCAGACCAGTCTCAGCCATAGCTATTGCCTGGCTCCCCGTTGCCTGCTCCTGCTCCTCACACTGAGGTGACTGAGTCCCTTACTGAGCGTTGTGAGCCTGAGACTTGTGCTTCCACACCTGTTCGTGCTCGTCGTGTCACCCATCCTCGTCCTCCTGCTGTCCCAGGCACTCACAGTATGGCACTCCGTCCTTCCTCTGTTCCACAGCGTGCCTGAGCCTCCCGCGTCCTCTCTTCCGCACGTTCCTGACCCAGAGTCCGACCTTGCTCGTGCGGCCAGTCCTACTGTCACTCGTCTCCTCGCTACTGTCGTCACTGGCCCTGACTTTGAGTCTACTGCTGCGTTTGCCCTAGTCACTGAGCTAGTCGACTTTGCAGCTAGGAGTCGTCTCGACTACGTCCTGAGTCTTGTTACTGAGTCTGAGCCTGTCTGTCCTCCGTCCGTCGGGGGTGAGCTTGCCCTTAGCAATGACGTCCTCTCTCTCTCACTGTCGAACGTGCAGCTGTGGGGGGAGGGTAAGAGAGAGTGGCGGACGAAGCAGCCACACATATGCAACTGCCGCCCTCTGCTATCGTGGCACCTCCTACTGCAGCCCCTGACGCCACCTTCATTTGTCTCGTCTCTCTGCTGCTGTTGAGCGGCAGGTGCTGCCGTTGAGCCCTGCGTTGCCGCCACCCTTTCTCGCCGCACGCACCTGCTCTCCAGGCTACGTGCGCCACATGCACCTACTGTTGTCTGTTTCTCTCTTGCCTCAGGGCTTACTGCAGCTGTATCTGCCACTACTGCACTGGTTGTCACTGCTCTTGCGTGCTGCTGCTTTGTTCTGCTTGGCGTACCCCTGCAAGTTGTGTCTTGCACTTGGCTATTTCTGCATGCAGTTAAGGGGGGATGTCAGAATTATATTGTTATAACTGCATGTAGTTCTAGCTGTGGTGTAGTTATCCTAATTTCCTGCTTGGTGGTGTACCCCCTTTCCTCCCCTATTTGTACTTCACTCTCTGTAGTGAAACCACCCCTTTCTTGCTCCAATTCTCTCGATAATGATGCCTAGCCTAAACTCTAGGATGGCTCCTAGTCTCACCCTCTAGCTACGATTCTGACAAAGAGCCACTTGGAGGAGATCAATGTTGGATACGGAACCAGTACCTGATGCTCCCATCATCCCAGGTTATGTGCCCCACAAGAAAGTGCAGCATCACATTTCACCCCCATGTTTCCGCCACCTGCTCTTGATGCCCCTGTGCACTCGGCTCCTCGTAAGTGCTTGAGAACAAAGCCTTTGCAGCAAATTCCATAACCATTCTTACAAGACAGTGCTATTTACAAGAGCAGCTACGAGCGAGGCCTTAACATGTCAAACACCAGCAAATATTTACACTGACGTGTCAAGTGTCTTTCTCCCACGAAACCAATATCTCCAGCTCACCCACAATGCGCTCAACCCTGCTGCTCACCCCCCTGCTGCCCACTTCCCTGCTGTTCATAGTTGTGGATTGAACCAGTTGTCCCAGCCTCATGCTGTTGCTGCGTCCTAGACCCCTGGACTTCATTGCAATTCCCCTCCTCACCATGCGTGCTCTTCTCACCATGCATGCTGCCCTCACCATGCGTGCTCTTCTCACCATGCATGCTGCCCTTGTTGGTCTCGTGTAAGCACCCTCCCTCTTCCTTATTTGCCTCTGTCTTCCCCTCTCATCAACCCCATCACCATACCCTTACCCTCTTCACCATGCTTACCTGTCCCCTCCTCCCCCCTCATTGCCTGCCTCTACTCTCAGCGTCACTTCTTCTCTACCCGAGCCAGAACTGGGTTCTTGAAATGGAACTGCCTCTTCTCTACTCCCCTGCATGCTCCTACTCCCCTCCACCTGAACCAGAACCGGGCTTCAAAATCTGTAAAATCCCTGCCTCCACGCACCTCCCGTCCAACAAGATTGTTTCAAATTGGACTTAAACCAGCCTTCGCCCTCCTCCTGAGTTCTCCCTGGGTCAGATCCGCCACCAAGGGTCTGGAAACAGTTTCTGACGGACTGCTTCCAGGCTTACATTCCACTCACCAGAACTCCTGCAATGAGGAGTCTTGACGAGTCAAGAATACGCCACTCTCCTCAAGAATCGCCCCTAGGGATGCATTCCCATTCGCCACTCCCCACCTCTCCTGTTAGCCTCCCAGCTCCTTCGCTCGTTTCTGAACCCCTCTCCCTCCTTTCCTCCCTGTCCTCCCCCTCATCTCTTTCCTCTGTCTCTTCCCTTTCCTCCTCCTCTTCCATCTCTGCCCTCTCCTGCATGTCTTTCATTGCTTCCCTCCCCCCCATCTCCCCCATCTCCCCCATCTCCTCCTTCTCCTCCCTCTCCTCCCTCTCCTCCCTCTCCTCCCTCTCCTCCCTCTCCTCCCTCTCCTCCCTCTCCTCCCTCTCCTCCCTCTCCTCCCTCTCCTTCCTCTCCTCCATCTCCTCTCTCACCCCCCTCTCCTCCCTTTCCTTCAACTCCCCCTTCTCCCCCCTCTCCTGCTTCTCCTGCTTCTCCCTCTCCCCCCCCTCCCCCCTCTCCCCCATCTCCTCCCTCCCCCCCTTCTCACCCTGCTTCTCCCCAATGCTACCCTCCTGCTCGTTTGCCGCGACTGGTTGGAAGGCAATTGAAGAAAGGTCATCAGGTAGGGGTGCTATTTGGGGCGCCTCAAAAATCACTTCAGGCCCACCCCCCCCCTTGTTGGACTTTACCGGTTCGCCAGACTTTGGAAAGAGGTCATGAGATGATGGTGGATTCTGGGAAGGCTGAGGGGAAAGTGCAGGTGGGGGGGAATGAGCATGCGGAGGCGGAGGGGAAGAGGTGGACGCTTGAGCATCCGTAAGGGGGGGAGGATGGGCGTGAAGAGGGGGAGGCGGAGGAGGAGGAGGAGGAGGAGGAGGAGGAGGAGGAGGAGGAGGAGGAGGAGGAGGAGGAGGAGGAGGAGGAGGAGGAGGAGGAGGAGGAGGAGGAGGAGGAGCGAAGTGGTGGTTAGGAGGGGAGAAGTAGTGGTGCTGGTATGAGTGGTGGTGGGGAAAGGGGTCGTGAGACGGGTGAGGGTGGTGAGGAGGGGGAACGAGAGGGTGAGACGAGGGAGGGTCGTGAGGAGGATGGTCCTGGGGAGGGTGGTGAGGAGGGGGGTAATGCGGGGGAGGATGGTGAGGGGGTGGGTGGTGAGGAGGAGGAGGGTGGTGGTGAGGAGGAGGTGGGTGGTGAGAAGGGGGAAGGTGGTGAGAAGGGGAAGGGTGGTGAGGGGGTGAGTGATGAGGAGGGGGAGGGTGGTGAGGAGGGGGAGGGTGGTGAGGAGGGGGGGGGGTGGTGAGGAGGGGGGGGGTGGTGAGGAGGGGGAGGGTGGTGAGGAGGGGGAGGATGGTGACGAGGGGTTGGGTGGTGAGGAGGGGGAGGGTGGTGCGGAGGAGGAGAGTGGTGCGGAGGGTGAGGGTGGTGCGGAGGGGGAGGGTGAGGGTGATGAGGAGGAAGAGGGTGATGGGGAGCAGGAGGAACAGGGGTAGAAGGAGAGTCGTCATCCTCATGCTTCAAAAACTCGGACTCCAGTGCGTGAGGCGAGTGAAGAGAGGTCAACGGGGGAGGAGGAAGCGGGGGAGAAGGCGAGGACGCAGCAGCAGGCACAGGCAGGTGCGAAGCTGAAGCTGCACCAGCAGACGTCTTCTGATTCGCCTCAAAACGCCCGTGCTGACCTGAAGCTGCTGCTGCTGGTCCAGAAGCACCTGCAGGAACTCCTAAAGCCACCCCAGCAGCTGTCTCCACGACAGACACACCCTCTCCTGCTAAAACCACTCCTCTGGACCCTCCTATCCCACCAATCCCACCAATCCCACCAATCCCTCCAATCCCCCCAGTCCCTCCAATCCCCTCAGTCTGAGGAAGGAAGAGCAGCAGCGATTCCGACAAGTCAAGAAGCGCTGACTCGAGATTGCCGGCAGTTTCTGCTGCCTCGCCAGCAACCAGATCCTCCCAGCTACCCTCCTCTTCGCCACAGCTGGTAACCTGCCTCGCAGCTTGGTTTGGAATATCACTGGTAGCACGGCTTGTAGCATGGCTGGAACTGCAAATCGCTTGGTTTTCACTCCCTCCTGCACTAGCCGCACTCCGACCCCCAACCGTCTTCTGCCCACTCACATCCTTCCCGCGCTTCTGCTGAGCTCGACGCTGCTGCTGCTGCTGCTGCTGCTGCTGCTGCTGAGCCATCTGCCACATGCTCCGTTCAACAGCAAAGCGGTACACCCGAGACAGATTCGCCACAACATGCGACACACGGGCCCCTGAGGACGACCCCTCTGATCCCACCCCCCAAAGCTCCAGCCTCCCACCGCTGTCGTCCATCACCACCAAAGGCACTCCTGACTCGATACTGGCTGACTCGTTATTAGCCGGTCCGAAATTCAGTGGCTCGAGATTTGAAGGTTGAACATTTGCAGCTGACTGGATATTTGCGGTAGGCTGAGCATTTGTGCCGAAACTAACAGTTGGATCTGGGAACGCAGGTAGAGGCTGGCTGGTGCTTGAAGCGGGGGTTGACAAGGCTGCAGAAGCCGACAGGGCTGAAGGGACCGATTGAGGATTTGGACGAATGCTGTGTTGTTCTCGTTCCTTTCGCTTAGGATGTTTCTCCTGCTGCGGCTGGGAGCGAAGGACTGGGTCAAGCTTTGCTCCTGGTGATTGTTGTTGTTGCTGCTGCTGCTGCTGCTGCACCACAGGTGGCGGCGTTGGGTGCTCAGCTGGCGAGTTTAGTCCGTCCTTGTCGTCTGCTGCACCTGGAAAGCAATCAGGAGACAAGGCATCGAAGCTAGCTTCAGTGCTACTATCATCATAAGATTCTATCAGACTCAGGAAAGATAGGCTTATGGAATAAGTTAGATACGGAACCTGGACATGCATGCAATGACTTTCCTAAAAAAAAGCAGAAACATTACCGATTGCATCTTGAGCAGCAGAAGCTGTTTCCGACGGAATTCCAGAAGCTTCTGAGTCAGATTTGGTCGGATCTGACTGTATTTGACTCGAGCTGACTCTGGCATGCTGTGGTGACACGTCAGATTCTAGTGAAGCCGGTTCTGTTCACACAAAAAGAAGCACGGGAAGGGAAACCATGCAAAATTGATGTAACGATTCATTGTAGTGATACAGATAGATGCATGAATTCGTAACAGGAGATCTGAAGGAACGAAAGGAGAGCAAACAAGAACAAGCCAACGAGTGCCGAATTCGTATTGAGGAATATTAACCCACTCAAAGAACCGATTTCGCAAAAACGGACAAAAATCAGTAAGGAGGCTTGCCTTCGGAGCTGGATCTGAGACCAAACGACGGCATCCTTCAATTCAGCAAATCGACGGATTGTGTAGCACGAGTCTGGAGCTTTCAGAGCCCCATTGATTGGAGGAAAAACAGCTCTAGGCTGTCAAGTGGAGATAGATTCGCAATAACCCAGCAGACAGGTTTCCGCGGTAGTCTAAATATCAGGGTGCCGCACTAGCCAGAAGATTACACGGTAGCCTTTCCAGAGAGGATGTCACAATAACCTAGCTAACGGAATTTCATTTGCCTAGCACGGGACTCCACTATGGTCTAGCTGACAGGAAATTCTACTACTGAAAATGAAGTAAGCTGGGATTTCATTTTTCTCTAGCAGGCAGCCTACAACCTCAGAGCATGTGAGGGGAGGGAGCTGACGACTAGCGATTTTCGTTAGCTAGCGTGATGATAGCTGACAACCGCAGCGACGAGCCAGATTTTGTGTCGGACGAGCACAGATTCTGTCGCTTCGGTTACCAGGCTGACATTTGTTGGTGGAGCTGATGGAAGGTGTGAGGACCACTTGACGTGTCAGTGACGCCATTTGGACCCGCAAAATCGCAAGTGCCCCTTGAAAGAATTTGCGAGACATACCTACCACCACTTCGGAACCAACCCAACCCAACGTAACCTCTCGTATATCCAATCTTGAGAACTTCGCGAACGTCCCAGCGGTGTGCTTCGGCAGCAAATGGTTGTTACCAAAAGCACCCCTGGCAATGCAAGGCATGTCAAAATCTCACATAGAAATTACCAGTGGTTTTGTACGTTCTAGCACGGTTAAAACTACAGTAAAATTGGTTGAGTGGAGTTACGAGGGATGATGTTTTTTTCAGCACCCTAATTCCCTTCCCCTCGCTTTTCTGCCATCTTGACTAATTATAGCTTTTCACATCCTTACACATAGTGCCAGCCGAGTTAGTCTGACGACATTCACGTGATTGACAAAAAACTTAACTTAGTTCCGAATGTAGGGTCGGGCGCCGTATCCATGGTTTGTGAACATCCATGGTTTGTGAACATCCATGGTTCGTGAACATCCAAGGTTTGAGAACATCCAGGGTTTGTGAACTGTTACCGCTACTAGGATAGATGGTACCTCGGAACGATTATGAAGAATGGTGTGGGAGTGCGAACACAGTTTTGCCAAATGAAATAGCAGCACCCGTATCTTCATTCTTTAATCCGCTCTACGTAGGTTCGTCAACTGAAGCAGTTCCCATCCATTGGCGTCAAGAACCGTACTCACAACCGGACTCCACCGCTCGATATCCGAGTCCTTCACTTACACCAGTCGTACCACCCTCCGCTGACGTCACCATGAATTCAGGGTCCCAACGGCAAATTTCAACTGTTGCAGTCCCAGCTGCAGACTCAGATGATCACGCCATAGCAGCAGCGTTACAGGAGGAGGAGGATCACCTTGCAAAGGAAACGAAGGGGGAGAGCAGAGGTCAGTCTGCATCTCAGCCGTCCATCCAAACAGAATCTCTTGCAGCAGATTCGGACGATCACGCCATAGCAGCAGCGCTACAGGAGGAATTTCTTAGGGAAGCCGACTCCGAAGCAGCAGGTTCGGGTGCTGGCTCAGGTTCGGCGCCAGGGTCGTGGTTGGGAGGCGCGGAGGATTGGCTCCGGGGGCTGTTTCCGACCCTGCCTGGGCGGGGAGAAGGCGGGACAGGGAGGCTGTCCAGGGGGGATGCACCTGGACATGGGAGGGCTAGCAAGGGCTTGTCCCCTGCTGCCCGGCGAAATTCGCCTGGGGCAGGGAATTCGCTGCAAGGAAGAGGCAATTCGCCAGCAAGGGGGCTTTCACCAGCAAAGGGGGTTTCTCCAAAGGGGGTTTCGCCAAAGGGGTTTTCGCCAGCACAAGGATTTTCGCCAGCAAAGGGGTTTCAGGCAGGCAAAGGCCGGTCCCCAGTTAGGGGAGTTTCCCCCATGCGATGGCTGTCTCCTGTGGTGCGGACACGGGAACCAGAGAGGAGAGATGCAGTCAGGGAACCCGCAGCAGCAGCAGCAGCAGCTGTTACCGCTGCAGCAGCAGGTCCAGTGGGAGCAGCTGCAGCAGAAGGAGCAGCAGCAGTAGCAGCAGAAGCAGCAGCAGCAGTAGCAGCAGTAGCTGCAGCAGAAGTAGCAGCAGCAGTAGCAGCAACAGCAGCAGCAGCAACAGTCGCATCAGCATCAGCAGCAGCTCCAGCAGCAGCAGGAGGGCAGGCAGCGGTGATCCATTCGCCTGCTGAGCCTTTTGTGTTGTCCAGCCCCGGTGATCAATCAAGCCCGTTGATTGGCCCTCCTGATAGTCAATCCAGTCCGTCCATTGGGCCCCCTGAGATTGTTTCAAGCCCATCCTTCGGACCTCCTGAAACTCAATCAAGCCCGTCTATTGCCCCCCTTCAGATTCAATCCAGCCCGTCGACTCTCCCTCCTGAAAGTCAATCCAGTCCGTGGATTGGCCCTGGCGCTGCTCCTGAACCCAATCCCCTCACCAGGTTGTTATCAGACCCCGCTGAAGTCACACTCGCGTACAGTCACATCCAGGCAGGGAACACCGCTTCTCCTGGAGGCTATGAAGCAGAAACCACCCTCCCTGTGTCGCCCCAGGGTGCTCTGTGGGTGAACCCCTCGTTACATTCAACTCCCATGCACCCCTCGTTACAGTCACATCGTGTTTTGTCTCCCTTGTCACCTGGTGGGGACCTCCCTGCTTCTGGCCTTGGCACTGTCGTGGGTGATTCGGACCCCCCTGGAGGTATGTGTAAACCTCCTGAGGGTATGTTGGAATCTCCTGGAGTTACGTCAAAATCTTCTGGGGTTTTGTTGGAATCTCCTGGGGTTACGTGTGCTGATGATTCATCAGGTGCTTCTTCTGCTCTACCGGGTTCACCACACACTGCACTACCTGCTCCTGCTTTGTCCCCTGACCTATTTGCTGCTTCTCCACCTGTGCCGAACCGAAGGCTGGTCTTGCAGATAGCAGAGAGGGAGAGGGAGTGTGAAAGGGAGAGGGAGATGGAGAGAGTGAGGAGGAGGGAGAGGGAGCAGGAGAGCGAGGAGGGACAGGTATGGATGAACGGAAAGGCAGAAGATGCAGCAGCAGAGCAAGCCGATGGTTTTGACAACGATGGTTACAATGACGATGCCGATAATAAAGGGTACAAAGATGATGAAGATGATGTGGGGACGGAACAGGAGGAGGAGCTAGATGGAGACTTCGCTCTGGCCATGGAACTGGCTTCGGAGGAACTCAGTAAGTCAGCATGTCATGATGTCAACGCCTTGTTCTGGCATTTCTTAGATCTCTCAAGAGCCCCTTTGGCCTTGGAATTGGCTTCAGAGGAACTCAGTAAGCATGTCAATGCCAATGTCATGGGGGGGAGTGCCAAAGCTTTGAAATTCAAAGACCTACTTGACATAAGTACTTGCAGCACTCTTCTTGCCCTTCCATGCCCCCCTTTCCCACCCTAAAGCAGCTGTACGAACGTAGTTGCCCTTGCTCCATCCGCCCTTTTCTTCCCTCCCGGACACCTTTTTTGCAATATTCCACCATGTGTATGATCCCGTGTGGTGCTGTGTGGTGCTGTGTGGTGCTATGCTATGCGGTGCTGTGTGGTGCTGTGTGGTGCTGTGTGGTGCTGTGCTATGCGGTGCTGTGTGGTGCTGTGTGGTGCTATGTGGTGCTGTGCTATGCGGTGCTGTGTGGTGCTGTGTGGTGCTGTGTGGGGCTGTGCTATGCGGTGCTGTGTGGTGCTGTGTGGTGCTGTGCTATGCGGTGCTGTGTGGTGCTGTGCTATGTGTTGCCGTGTGATCCCGTGTGATGCCGTGTGATTCCATGTGATGCTGGTGCTGTGCGGTGCTGTGAGCAGACAACGCTGGTTTGAGCAGCAATGAGCCTCCGACTGCAGGACGGTCAATCACGAGGCTTTTCACTCGATCCAACTCCGTGCTCGTCCAGGCTGCCCTCATTGCGAGGCAACTGGTGAAGAATCTCTATCACCCTCCGTGCCCCAACCACCCCCCCCCCCCCCCCCCCCCCCCCCGCCCCGTTTTCCCCCTGCTTTTTCCCCTTTCTTCTTCCTTTGCAGCACAGCATGCGGGTGAACAGCGGTAGGCTGCCCTCGTTGCGAGAGAGCCTGTCAAGCCACCAGACGCTCACAGAGAGGTGAGTGGGAGGTCGGGCTGATTCAGGGACGACTGGGGGGTTGTGGACGGGAGGATGGAGGATGGGGAAGATGCGCATGGGTTTGCTCTTTGCTTGTCTACCTGTTTTCCCTTTTCCTCCACGTTTCTTTAAATGCATTGGGTAATTTCCTTTGCTCTTGCTGTGTTTCCTTTATTCTGCACCTCCTCCTCTGCCTTCCTGCTCCTCTACTCTCCATTTCCCCTCGCCGTCCCCTTCCCCTGCTTCTCCTTCCCTCCTCTCCTTTTCCCTGCTCCTCCCTCCATCCCCTCGCCCCCTCCAGTCGTGTTTTTGAGTCGACTCAACATTCTTTCACTTCCTCACTCCCTTTTCCCCTGCTCCTCCCTGCAATCCCCCTTCTTTTCAGGCTTGCAGTGTATGGGCTGAGGGAATTGCCGATGGTGGGGGATGGAAACTGCCAGGTATTTTTATCCAACACCAGCCTACACCTGCTAACACCAGCCAATACCTGCTAGCACATGCTAACACATATCAACACCTGTTAACACCTGTTAACACCTGCCAACGCCTGTTAACGCCCTCCCCGTGCTCTTTCTCCACCCCCAGTTCGCGCCCTAACAGACCAGTTGTTTTCCCAATGCCTGCTAGCCCACTGTCAACGCTTTGCTTCTCCCTGTTCCCCCCCCCCCCCACCCTGCTTCTTCTCCTCCCACCCCCAGTTCCGCGCCCTGGCAGACCAGCTGTTTCGCAACGCCAATCGCCATGCGGCCGTGCGACAAGCCGTGGTGCAACAGGTGCGTGGGGAAGGCAGTAGGTGCACCAGGTGAAATGGGAAGGGGAGGTGGGTGTTAGAGTGGGTGGGGGAAGAGTGAAGCAGGAGGGAGAAGGGTTGTTGAAGGCTGTTCAGCAACGCCAATCGCCATACAGCCGTGCGACAAGCCGTGGTGCAGCAGGTGCAGAGGGAAAAAGGTTTATCGTGAGGTTGGGTTGGGTGGAAGAGTGCAGCAGGCGGGTGGGGGAAAGGCGGGTGGGGGGAAGAGCGCAGCAGGGGGAGGAGGGGGGGGAAGAGAGGAGCAGGCAGGTGGGAAGAGAGCGCAGCAGGCAGGTGGGGGGAAGCCGGGTGGGGGGAAGAGCGCAGCAGGGGGAGGAGGGGGGGAGAGTGCAGCAGGCGGGTGGGGGGAGAGCGCAGCAGGCGGGTGAGGGGAGAGCGCAGCAGGCGGGTGGGGGGAAGAGCGCTGCAGGCGGGTGGGGGGAGAGCGCAGCAGGCGGGTGGGGGGAAGAGCACTGCAGGCGGGTATGGGGAAGGCGGGTGGGGGGAAGAGCACTGCAGGCGGGTATGGGGAAGGCGGGTGGGGGGAAGAACGCTGCAGGTGGGTGGGGGGAGGAGCGCAGCAGGTGCAAAATTGATTTGAGAAACGGATGGGGATGGATACGGGGGTTCAATACACAGGTAAGTGCGAGCAGTGCAGTTGTCACACATTCGTGCAAAATTCAGTTGTTTTGGCACTCTCTGTTCTTAATGCTGCCTCTGTGTGCATGTGTGTGTCAGATGCGGGCACATTCAGAGCGCTACTCACCCTATGTGCCAGACAGCTTCCCCCGCTACCTCCGACACATGGCCAGGTAAGGATTTAAGAGTGACGGTTGGAAATAAGCTTTTCTCGCTACCTCAAGCACAGGTAATCATCTCTGCATGGTTACTGAGCCTGCCTGAACAGTGTTGAGGCGCCTCAAAGCTCCACTCAGAGCGCTACTCGCCCTATGTGCCGGACAGCTTCCCTTCCCCCGCTACCTCAAGCACAGGTAATCATCTCTGCATGGTTACAGAGTCCGACTGAACAGTGTTGAGACGTTTCAAAGCTCTACTCAGAGCCCTACTCACCCCTATGTGCCGGACAGCTTCCCTTCCCCCGCTACCTCAGACACAGGCCAGGAGCTCTACACAGTGCTGACTGAATAGCGAGAAAATGGCACCGAATTGGGCCGAATAGCCCCGAATGGTACTGATTGGCATTAAATACCACTAAATAGCATCAAAACTGTCACCCACTGGGCTGTCAGTTAAGGCTGTCATTTAGTTAAGTTTTCTGCTGGATGTCTGCGGGAATGTGGTGGAGTTTTCTATGGTCGCTACTTCATGTTTCTTCTTGACTCTTCTATTCCTCTCCTTGTTGCTCCCACGAATGGTGAGTGGGGCGATTATATCATATTCCTCTCCCACATTGATCATCTTGAGTACTCTCCTATTCTTCTCTCGTTCCACTCCTATTCCTCTCCCATTCCTCTCCTATTCTTCTCCCGTTCCTCACCTTTGCCTCTCCTTGTTGCTCGCAGGAATGGCGAGTGGGGCGACCACATCACTCTGCAAGCTGCTGCTGACAAGGTGCGGTGCGGTGAAGTGCAGTTAGGAGAGGTCCAGTGAGGCTAGGAGCGGTATGGTTTTGTTTACTTCCTTTCGATGCTCCCTTCCTCTCATCATCAATGGCCATTTCTTTCGAAATCCTAACGTCATCATCCTCCATGCCACGTCATCATCCTCCATGTCATGTCATCATCCTCCATGCCACGTCATCATCCTCCATGCCACGTCGTCATCCTCCATGTCACGTCATCATCCTGTCATCATCCTCCATCGTCACTTGTTACGGAGCAAAGATCAATCTCATCACGTCCTATCCAGGAGACCAGTTCCTAATAGAGATCTTCCCTTGCCAAGGCAAACCCACCAAAGGTGAGTGTTAGAGTGATCTATTAGTCAAACCACAAGACAGCAATGGGCATGAGAGAGTCAGCTAAGCGTTACCAGAGCCGTTTTATGTTCTTCAAGAGGCACCAAGTGATGTGCTTTGCTGGAGACAAGTTCCTCCTTGAGATCTACCATGCCTTGGCAAACCCACCAAACGTGAGTCCTGCATTGATTTTGATTCAAACCAAGCCGCGAGTTACCCAGCCAAGCCGTTTTAAGAGGCACCAAGCGATGTGCTTTGCTGGAAGTTCCTCATAGGGATCAATCCATGCCTTCGCAAACCCACCGAAGGTGAGAAAGGTGACTCCTGCATTGGAGAGATTTTGGGGTTAAAGAAAACCACAAGTGATGTGCTTTGCTGGAGACAAGTTCCTTGTAGGAATCTATCCATGCCTTGGCAAACCCGGCAAAGATGAGTCTAGGACTGGTGGAGTGATTTCAGAGTCAAACCAAGTCATTAAAGCTGTTCACCAGAGTCAAAACTTTCATTCTTTCAACTCAACTTTTGCATGTGCTCAAACCGCTTTGCACCCATCTGCATCTGTTTGTCCATTTGCCTGCACGTGCGTCAGAGTTATGGCTCAGCTTCTGGGCGGAAGTACACTACAACTCCGTCTACAGTGCAGAAAGTAAGTGCCAATACAATTTGGTTAGCTGTGCTGCCAATATAGTTTGGTTTACACTGCTGAAAGTATGTGTGCCTGCATTGCCGCCTGCAGCCGTTATAAGTGCGGAGAAACCGGTGTGACCAGGTGCATTGCAATCCGGTCTACAGTGCCGAAAGCAAAGTGTGTTGTGCATATATACCTCACAATATATGGGATTCTCCACTATACTTTAGGACTGCCCACACCAAGCACCATTCCCGCACAGTGAAGCTAATGTAGTGATTGTATCTTAATGATATTTTTTACGTCATTCTGTGGTGCTCTTCTCTACTGTTTGCAGGCCTCCCTCCACCTCAGCCGAAAAAGAAGCACTGGCTGTTCGCTTGACGAAATAGCTCTGGAAAGTTCTCCGTAAAATGTAATAGATTTTATTGCTGAAAGCCAAGTGTATATATCCTTGTATTGTAGCTGTTGGTTGGACAGAAGAATGGTAGACATGACAGATTCAAACCGATGGCTGATGTTGCGTATCTAAAGGGTTTTTTTTTTATTGTTATGAGTGCAATTGAGCGAGCGAGCAAGAATTGCACTACCGAAGCAAAACAGTACGATGAGCGAAGGCATGAGCGAAGAATATATAGCGAAGCTAGTGCGGTAACAGTAACGCGAGAAATGGGATGCACTACGGGCCTAGCGCCGAGGTTGGGAAATGTCGAGGCGGAGGTCCCGAGCGCGGGTTACCAACCGAACCGTGAGGTTGGGTCGCATTGTTAACAGTGGCGGGAGCCGCGATCGAGGCGAGTGTCGCGAGCGGGTAACGTTTCACTGTTGGGTGCTGATGGCGGGAATGGTCATGTACGCGGTAAGCAGGGGCGCGAACTAAGGAAAATGAATTTTCCTTACTCTTATCAACCTTGCGGGCCAGAACCAGGCTGGGAAGGAGTTCACCGCAACCCAGCACCAGGCTTGGAAGGGGAGAAGCTGGGTACCGCAACAGACTACGGTACGTAATGTTGATGTTACTGTGTGTGGGGACAACAGCGTCAGACCAATATCACTGGTTACGGAGGTCAAACACCGGTACATCGGCTCTGCACTGAAATGTTGTAGGTCACAAGGCTCGTATAACGGGGATTGCTCCGACACAGCAAAATCAAAAGGTCGCGTTCAGCGATTTCGAACGTGCGCGGGCAGAGCCCAACAGATTTCGAGTCTGTCCCGTTAACCACTCCGGCATGAACGCACGTCCACATCTGAGAAATTAACATATGAAATTTTATTGATGGGTCAATAGTTTCCCAATCAACGCGAATTATAGATTTGTAGAACCCTACACCCTCCCAGACTGGGTGGAACAATCCACTGGTGAACGTTCATATCGTTTACACACTTTACCGAACACATACGAGACACCTTCTCAAAGTCTTCCTATTTCTCGCATTTGTTGGCGATTTTCAATCGATAGGTTCAAGGATGCTTTTCTGAGCGTGTGGTGCCATGGAATGGAGCATCAAACCTCGCTGGGTTATCCAAGCCGAACAGAGACGTCCACCCGGTGGCCATCGAAGAGGTTATTCATCGGATTGTAGCACGGATGTCGTGTATTCTTCTCCATTTCGAAATGGAGACACACTTTGCTATTTGAATTTAATTGGGTGTGGGGACCAGCGCATGCTTTTCGTTCTGCTGTCACGACACATCCGACATGGTGTGAACATCGGAGCAAATCGATGTAACGAATGTCTTCAATTCGTTCCATCGACATGCAATGTTCGTCGGTCTCCGCGACTCTCCTTTTGTTGGTTTCGTCCCTTTCTTGCGCATCTTCTAAAGGGTGGGGTTCCCAGCAGCCTGTGTGTGTTTGTGGCATGGAGTTCACGAACACGTCGAATTTTCACCATGCCCTTCGTGTCAGAACATTATAGCTTATACATTTGTGAGAAGATTTGAACAAGAATGAATGAACTATGAAATGAAGTGAGTACAAATATGAAACCCTAATTGGTTGTACCCCCTATGGGATACCCCACTATAGCCTACATAACAGCATAAGCTATAATGTTCTGACACACCCCCATAGGCAAAGTGGGGGAGAACAAGGGGTCACAAGACCAGTCAAGCAAAGTAAAGCAAAGCAAGCTCAGGGTGGATCACAAAGTCACCACACAGTCCGAGCACAGGGTCAAGGCCACACGGCCAGTTCACATGCAAGAGTACACACATATATATAAAGCTAGACAAGCAAGAGCAGGTATATATATATGTGAGAGTACAGGCAAGGTCAAGAGGAGAGCAAGTGAGGCAAGACGGGCACAAGACCCAGCTGAGTGCAGAAGCGCTGATGATCACAAGGCGGAAGTGCCTTGGTGAAGACATCAGCAGTGTTGGCCTCAGAGGCCACGTACGCAAGCCGCAACTGACCACGTTGCTGTAGCTCACGAGCAAGGAAGTAGCGGAGAGCAATGTGCTTTGTTCTGTGCTCCAGTCGCTGCTCTCGACACAAGGCCAGCATGGCCTTGTTGTCTACGTACAGGACTGGAGGAGAACGAGGCGGCTCTCCAAGGTCGGTCAGCAGGTAGGTGAGCCAGCGAAGCTCCTGTGCAGCCATGGCCCCGGCGTAGATCTCAGCCTCACAACTCGAGCCAAGAACAGAAGACGAGCGAGTAGCCCGCCACGAAACAGAGCCAGAACCAAGGCTGAAGGTGTAACCCTGTGACGACCGCTGCGTAGCCTGGTCGTCAGCCCAACAAGCGTCCGCGTGCCCAGTGAGGACCACTGGACTCCGCCCTCCAAGCACTAGCCCCATGCCCGACGTACTGCACAAGTAGCGCAACACCCTCTTCGCTGCAGCCATGTGCTCTGGTCTGTGTCTCCCAGGAGCAACATAGCGTGCCAGAATGCTAAGAGGGTATGCAAGGTCAGGTCGTGTGCAGGTCATCAGGTACATGAGGCAGCCAACAAGCTCTGGGTACGGGCCACTCGACTCTACGGACTCATCCGAAGGCAGAGCTGAGAGCGAGTGGCGAGTAGACAGAGGAGTGGCCTGAGGCGAGGAGTACGTGAAGCCGAAGCGCTGAAGGACCTGCTGCACCATGTGTGACTGAGTCAGGGTAATGGTGCGGCGTGCTCTGTCCCGGGTGATCTGCAAGCCAAGGTAGCTGCGCAGTTCACCCAGGTCTGTGCACGTGTGTCTCTTCTGCAGCTCGGACTTCACGTAGGCGAGTCCAGCAGTGTCAGCTGTGGCAAAGACCAAGTCGTCGACGTACACGAGGATGTAGAACGGCGGCAGAGAGGTGTCGGTGCGTAGAAACAGCGACGGGTCGGCAGTAGAAGGAGCAAACCCAAGAGCCGCAAGTGTAGTCCTCAGTGTGTCGTGCCACTCACGTGGCGCCTGGCGGAGACCGTAGACTGGACGCCGGAGACTCCACTGGGTACCAGAAGGGAAAGACCCAGTGAAGCCAGGTGGGCGACGCAGCCAGATCTCCTCGTGCAGGCTGCCCTGCAAGAAAGCTGTGCTGAAGTCAAGAGAGTGCAGCTCGTAGTCACGGTGAGCAGCAACGTGCAGCAGTACCCGAAGAGTGGTCATCTTCGGGGTGGGGGAGAAGGTCTGAAAGTAGTCAACTCCCTGCCGCTGACTGAAGCCACGAGCCACGTAACGCGCCTTGAAGACAGGCGGAGAACCCGGCGGCCGCTTCACCCTGAAGATCCACATGCCACTGACGATGTTCGCCCCAGGAGGGGGGACAGCGTCAACGTAGGTGCCTGTGGACTTCCAGGAAGCCATCTCTGCATCCATAGCTGCCTGCCACTGAGAGGAGTAGGGACCCTCTATCGCCTCCGCGTAAGAGCGCGGAGTCGGGATGTCAAGTGCATCCGGGTCTCCCTCAGGGGTAAGCAGTACGGACACGAGATGAGGTGAGGCAGCTGCCAGACACTGGAACTCCTCCTGCCTGTCCTCAAGGACGTCCGTGCCAAGGGCACACTCACCCCCGACGGACGGAGGACAGACAGACTCAGACTCAGCGACAAGACTAGCAGCGTAGTCTAAGCGACAGCGAGCAGCAAAGTCGACGAGCTCAGTAACGAGAGCAGACGCAGCAGTAGACTCGAAAGAAGGGTCAGTGACAACAGTAGCAAGGAGACGCGTGACAGTAGGACTGGCAGCACGAAGAGAGTCCGACTCCGGGTCGGCAAGAGCAGGAAGAGAGGACTCAGGAGGAGAAGGCAAAGGGGCACGCAGAGGAGCAGTGGACGGACGCAGAGACATCCGGTGCGTGCCAGGGACAGGAGGAGGACGCTGACGCGAACCGCGACCACTAGTGCGAGCAGCACGGACAGGCGACGCAGGGCGAGACGCAGGCTCACGACGCTCAGCCAGACCTCCAGTAGGACCAGTGTAGGGAGAAGGAGCAGGCAAAGGGGAGGTAGGCTGCAACTGTAGCTGGGACGAGACAGGCTGTGGACACTCTAAGGGAGGAGGAGGACCAGTAGAAGGTGGAAGACCAAGAACCTGCTGCAGGAGTGGCACGAAGTACGGTCGAGGCCGCGCGGCGACGCTAGAAGCAGCAGGGACAGCACCAGAACCCTCAGCAGGAGCACCCGCTCCAGCAGCACCACCAGTAGCTCCAGAACCTCCAGCAGCACCAGGAGCACCCCCAGTAGGACTGCCAGCGGTAGTCTCAGCGCCAGCACCCTCAGCAGCACCAGCTCCAGTGCACCCAGGACGAGCACCTCTGGGACCCGCGACCGCAGCACCCTCAGCAGCCGAAGGACCTCCAGCACCAGCAGCACGCCTCCAGCGCCGGGCAAACCACTCACGCAGCTCCTGTGGAGAAAGTGGCTCCCGGCGAGACGAAGCACTCGGAGAACCTCCAGGCGAAGCACCTCCAGGCTCAGCACACCCAGGCGTAGCACCCCTAGGCTCAGCACCCCCAGACGTAGCACCCCTAGGCTCAGCACCCCAAGGCTCAGCACCCCTAGGCTCAGCACCCCCAGGCTCAGCACCCCCAGGCTCAGCACCC